ATAGTTAGTATTTTCACCATAATCTATTTATAAGTATAGGTTTAAATCAGATTATGTATCTGATTTGTCTTTATTAAATTTTTTTTTTTACTATTAGTGATGCATTAATAATGTATTATTATTTATTTTATGTATTACTTAATTAATTAGATGTATAATTTTTTATGTGTATATATATATAAAAATCAGAAAAATAAAAGCAGCAGCTTTACAAAGCCAGCATTGTATTGTCACACCTGTTAAAGTATGAATTCAAGGCTTTTATTCTCACGTTTTTAGGTCTCTCTCCAAACTTTATTATTATTATTCTCGAATTTCTTCTTTTTCTGTGTGATTTAATATTTCCAAAAAAAAAATTATATTAAATACATATAAATATATTTCAACTCTTATTAAAAAAGTTAAAATTTTCATTGTATATATATATATATATATATATATATATGATGTATTAATTACAGATTTTATAATATTTTTATATATATATTTTTTATGTATTTTAATCAACTATGAATATTTTATACAACATCTTAATAAAATTGTTAAAAATAAATTAACACATACTCTAGTTTTAAAATGAGTTTCTTATCACCAATGAAGCAAAAGAGGAATGTTTGTCCAATGTGAAATATTTTTTTTTTCTTTTTCAATAGAACCACTTTGGAATATTTTGATTCGAAGTATAATTAGTGCCTTTGAAATGAGTTTTTTTTTTTGTCATAGCTCCGTTGTGTGAAACAAATTAGAACCATGTAGTTGATAAAATATCAATTCTTGTGTTAGTTGAATATGTTTATACTTTACATAATAATTTCTAATAAACGTGGATCGACTTTCGCATATTGCCTACATGTTACAAAAAAAAAAAAAAAATTGTTCTTTCTCAATAGCAGCATAGCCCTTATCATCAAATGAGCAACCTCTATCTCAAAAGCCTCGTTAAGTATATAGGCTCCTTTTCCTTGATCGTTGCATCATTGGGAATAGAACCTAAGCGAATAAATGCAACAAAATTCTCTAAACATGTAAACCAAGGCTCGTTGAAATAAAGAACCATGGAGACAATGACTAAGCTCCTCGTTTATAGGGAAGCCTTCCATTTCTTTCAATGGTTACTTTCTTTATTCCATCTCATAAGGCTAAAGTGATCAGGATCCTCACTTTGATCTAATTATTAAAGTACAAAGAATTGGTTATATATTTTCTTATCAGCCAAAACTTTGAGTTTAAAGATATAAGAGACTCAGTTCAATCAATTATTTAAGATAACGTTAGAACCAAAAGTCTATTTACGAATCACAATTCTCTCGTTTTTATTAAAAATTAATTTTATACAAAGTTTCGTTTTTCTATACTTGATTTATAATTTTAGCCAAATGATCTTACATATAAGAGAGTGTATTAACGTATAAATAATTAATTGGACTTGTTTTATATAAACACAAACTTTAGTTTTAACTTTTAGGATAATTAGTTTCATTAATTATTTAAGACTGATAGATTATGTACTGACCAAAAAATATATACTCTCTTTAAGGGTGACCCCCTTGAAAATAGAGAACTTTCAGCCCTTACTTTATTAGTGATCATAGAAGGTTTATCTTAGAAAGAAATAGACTCTCAATACTTAAAGGGATAATCTCTTAAAGGGGATGAAGCCTTGATGATTTCCTTAAGCCTTCTCAAAGAAAAAGAAACCTTCATAAAATCTTCATAACTAATACTCAACAAAAGGGTTAGCACAAAAGAGCATGATTTCACCTATAAAGGGCAATTCCCTTAAGTAAATAAAGAAAGAATAAGAGCTACTTGACTCTTTAAAACTTATGAGTAAATTCTCTTATTGCCTCAAGTGTGTAGACTTCCTCCCTCATGCCTTAATAGCCTTGACGTTGAAAGTCACAGTCATCCATCTTCCCTAAGTTATCTTGAAGTTTCAAGGCTTCAACTTCATGAGGGTCCATTTGAAATGTCTAGCCATCACTATAAGCGACCTTCAAGTATTCATTCTTAACTATCAAGCCTAACTAATCTCAAGCTTTCGTGCAAAGGAATGTGTTCTTCTAATTTTTATTATGTGAATTCTATTTAACTTAAGAAAAAAAATAAAAATGTACAATCCTAACATTTTGAGTTTAAAAAAAAAAAAACAAAATTAATTTAATCAAAACTTCTTGTAAAGACATCTAATATATGAACTGGTTAACCTTGAAAGTAAGATCATGCATCTTTAGATAATTTAAGTTCATTAATTTTCAAGTTTTACATGCAATATGAAGTTGTTAAACAAAATAAATCTAGTTCAGCTATGTAGTCGCTCGATTATATGTTTAAAAGAAAGAGAGATATAATACTAATTATGTATATATATATAAAAGAAAGAGAGATATAATACTAATTATGTATATATATATATATATATATTTTTTTTTTGTATAAAATGAAAAACGGAATTAATCATAAATAAACTAAAGCATAAAAGAAATGCAAATGACATTCAAATCACTCTTTAAGATCTTCAAGAGCAATAAAAGCAGAAATTATATGTTTAAAACCAGTTTAAGTACCAAATTAAGAAATTAAATCAAAATTTGAAAAAGAAAACAAGTATAAGAATATGGATAGGAAGAAGGCCATAAGCAGATCGATACAGAGTGGTGCATATATATATGTGTGTGCGTGCGTGTGTGTGTGTGTGTGTGTGTGTATAGATGAATGTCGGTGGAAGGGCAAGCTGGTGGGTGAGTTGATATGATGAAAGGAGTCCAAATTCAGTGAGACTCTCCACGAATGGTTTTTTTCTACTTTAAGATAAATAATAGCAGAAGAAAGAAACCACCCACATGTAAAAACACACCTCTCCGACATCTAACAAACTACTATATCGTCATATATCTATCATGAAATGACAATTACCATATATATATATATATATATACACACACACACATATATATATATATATATGTATGTTATCTATCTTTAGTTTCTTTTTGTTGGTTCCTTGTATAACACCTCTTATGTTTATCATTTTTCTTTCTAATTACTTGTTTGAAATTGAACTCTTCAGGATTTCATCAAAGACATACTGTATATATTTATTCAAACCTTTTATGTTTATCAGTACATGCTCTTTGTTCTACGGGCTTGGACTCCTCATAATTTGACAACATATATATATATATATATATATATATATATATATAGTTAAATCTGTTCTACTTCAATTAGCTTCAACTTTAAACTGATCATCTTCTACATAATATATGTATATATATGTACACACTAATGATAAACCTGATGTTTAATTTTTTTTTTTTTTTTTCAAATTGAGTTTCAATCCAGACAAAAGTAGACTAAAATATAATAATCTGATCCACTTTGAATCAAAATTAAAATAGTCTGATTTTAATCGATTCTCAGATCAGGTTGATTTTGTCAGATTGGATCCAGTTTAGGATCTATAAAAACTCCTACTTCTGCCATAAATTTAATAATAAAACTTGAAATATGTTATTCTATAAATTATAATACTATTATTTGTGAATTCAAAATGATAACATGAAGAATCAGAACTCCGGGTTCCATTTTCTTCTTTTCTACGCACCAGGGTGTTGTCTCTTTGATTGTCTTTCTTCGTCAAACTCCAAACTCACATGCAATTAAATGCTCCCAGAAAAATCACCCAGAGTATTTTTATTTATTGGTAGGTAGAGTTGATACAATACATATATATTATAAAGCTAAGAAGTTTATAATATATATATAATTAGCTAGGATTAAAACAGGATTGTTTGAGCGGACGAGGAGGATCAGAGAAAGCTCCTGTAGAAATTTTGTTGAAGACGAACTTATTAGCTGCTTCTGTGTAATGAATGCCATCCCAATTCACTCGCTTCCATGGCTTTTCACATGCGCCCACCACTATTTCGCTTCCATTCTTCATCTTCAATGTATACCCACAGGTAACCTCATTGTTGTAATTATATTTACCTCCATAACCACAACAAGCTACCAGAGGCAATTCGAAACCTACGTACATATACATATATAAATATATAAACATATAATAATTGAACATATAATTACTATAGCATGAGATGGGTATTAAGATAATTACCGTATTTTTTGGGATGAGTAAATAAAGAGTACTTGACAGAGTAAACGTCAACGTAAGTAAATGCAGATGAAGGAAGTTCTTTTCTGAGTTGACCAATGGCTTCCTTCAGCTTAAGGTTGAAGTACTTAGCTACTTCATTGTAAGCCTTTGCGCACCCGGCTGAGTCTTTCCCGGCGGTTTTAAACGTTGTTAAAATGTAAGGTAGACAGCCAACGGGCCCCGTGTTGTGAATCCAAAATGATCTGGCTCCCACCCAGTATATATTCTGCATCCAATCCCATTATATATGTGTCCCTGTATTTCAGTGTGTGTATATATATATATATAATTATATATAGAATGAATGAATTACCGTAACATCAACAGTGAACTGGTTGATAATATCAGGGATAGATGCATAAACTTGTTTTATGGTCTTGTTACGAAAGAATCCTTCGCCGAGATCATTCTGTCCTATATCGAATGTATATAAAGCTCTCAAATAATCTTCTTCCCTTGGCAACAAACTTCCGAATATGTCCCCTAAACAAAAAGTACTGCTTAGTTACTACTTAAAACCTACTTATATATTATAATTCTTATAAAATAGCTATTATCTTTATTTGAAAAGGATAGTTAAGGGTATTATAAATGAGTGAATACATACATACATATATATATATATATACACACACACACCCATAATTACCTCGAGTTCTAATGAAGTCTGCTCTGGATTTGAATTGATGAAACTGTCCATACTGGACATTTAGATAGAAGGGACTAAAGCCGCTGCCGCAGGGTAATACCCTGTTTGGTAATCTGATAGTGGAGGCTGAAGTGGCAAAATTTGCACCATGTGTGAAGTTGCTTTCTAAGGAATCAAGATACGCCTGTAGATGCGGCAGATTCAAACTCTCCGCTGCACGAGATTCAACCCTCATGGTTACCCTCAATAGAAATGGGTTAGTAGAGTAAGTAGGAATGTAGTATATATACCTATGAAGTCGATGATGAGGCGACCATCGGAGTACCTGCCGGCGGGCATGTGAAAGAATGTTTGTCCATAGGGGGGAGGGAGAGAGAATAAAGCAGCAGAAAATCCGCCGGTGTCGGAATTAGAGTCGCCGAAGTTAAAGATCGCAGGGAAATTGCAGAGCTCGGGAGCAGTAGAGCATAAGATGAATAGTGTAAAGAAACAGTAAACAGATAAGATAAGTTTCAGTACAGAGATGTAGGCCATGATTGAATGCTCATCCTGTCCCGGAACTCTCTGTATTTATGATAGCAAGAAATCAGATATGTGTAATTTTTGGATTATTATATATACGTTGAGATCGTCGTGTATGTATGATTTTTCAACCAATGCATCGTGATTCCGTGTTTTGATCTTCGTGCCACTCGCACTTGAATATTATAACGAGTTCAGGGAAAAATAATGGGTTTACTTACTTTACATATTTAAGTTTTCTGAAATATTATTAAATTAATTTTTATTTTTTTTAATTACAATTTTATTCTTTACACTTTATATATATATATATATATATATATTCAAAAGTATAGTTCTCATATTTGCACGCACTTATTTATGTTTTACAATATTTCAGTAATTTTAGTTTATTTTTTAAATAATTCAGAAATTATATTTTAATAATTACTTGTTTTACATAACAAGAGTTTCTGAAACAACTTCTACACATTCTATACTTACAAAAATGTATGTGTAAGAATTTAAAGGTCAATAATTTAAAAAAATAATTGCTATTAGAAAATATTAGTGTTAAAAACTAATAATATCATGTAAAACAACAGAAATATACAAATCTTAGAATCTCATCTAAAGAAAAAAAACTGAATACACCAAAAATGACTCCAGATATTACGAACTAAATCAAGAAAAATATATGTATCAGAATCTGACAACTGGATATCAACAATGCTCATACTGTCAGCCATTTTAAGCTCCTTCAAAACTCAAAGAATTTTCCACTTTCTTTGGCTAAAATTACCATTTTCTGCACTAGCCAATATATCAACTCACATGGCCATAATGCTCTTGGTAAAGGGGGAAGGAACTAACCATTGGAGTTGTGGTTAGTGCCGACCCGCCTCATGGTTCCACAAAGATTTCAGTTTAGTAACATTACCATATGTACAGATTAGCTCAAGCAATCAAAATGAGGATAAATACGCAGCACCCAAAAAGAAAAAAACAAATGAATAGGAAGCCCCCCACCCCCTCTATACATGTATCTCACAAGAAAATCTGTTAATACCCACTGGGAGGATTCTAACTAATGAAGAAACTTGCTCCAGGTCATCACCCGAAAAATGGAGTGCCAGACTCCTGTGTAGAAGAAGGCTGAAGAGCACGGATCCTAACGTCATATTTTATCCCACCTACGTCGTTGCTAGAAGATGAATCTGATCCATCTGCAATAAGTGGGTATGCTGAGAGTTTATCTTTGTAAGCATAGCCAATATGGTTACCACACTTCCGGCACAAAAGTTTGGTACTCCGACCGAAAAGTTTCCAAGAAAATTTGGAAAAGTAGGGGAAACACTTGAACTCATCAACCTGAGTAAATCTGCTCTCGTCAATGGTAAAGAATGATATGGTTCCTCTCTTTATAGATTTTCCATATTTTGAGCCAATAGTTGAGGTGTTGCGATTGGAGGAGCTTAGGTTCAGCTCGTACCCACAAGAACCGCAGCTGTAAGAAACAAGCAAAATTCATTTTCTGGAAATATAAAATGAGACCAACCAAAAGATTAAAAAACAAAAATCCTTACTGCTCAGAAGTGACAGAAAGATAATTACTCCATACATATCGCAAGCAAAATATGTTTCATTTTGACAAGAAATAATGTCATCTTTCTAATTTAGAACAACACCATCTCATGGATAAGATAAATAAAAAACTGGAGGTGTTTATAACATTATCAGAGACCATGCAGAATCATTACAAGGTGATATTATTAGCTCCCCCTTCTGAGTACGGACCTCATCCCATCACCAAAAAAAAAAAGATCCCTTTCAAAGGCATAAGCAAAGAAAATTAAAATAACAAACTCATTCTTAAATGGGAAACTGTGCACATTGACATCAATATAAACCATTCCATATTTATACCCAAGAAATTTGTGCGCAAAACATGAGTAACTGATAGCAAGATCCAAGAAGCAGTCTGTGAAATATATATATAATATGTAACTTAACAAATATACATAAAGGAAAAAGAATAGGTAAAGAACTAAAAAAGGCGGACCTGTATCAAATTTGAGCCACTTTATTACAAATTTCAAGTCATTTGAATTATCGAGTTGGTCAAATATTTGGGTTTGTTATTATTGATGGCTATATTTTCTCAACTATATAGTCAGGTTAGTTTGGACTTCAGGTTTATTGGGTCCGATAATCAATGTTTGAAAAGATAGATATGCAAGAACAACTCATGAACTGGGACATTGCTTTAAATTCCACATCAAAAGGAAGATAACGAGTCCAGTTTGGGCAGCTTTTGGCTTTGGCTTTTAAGTTTCAAAATCACTTTTGCAACCAAACAGGCACAATAAAAAGTGTTTTTAGCAAAGGTCAAAACGAAAATCTGCTTTTAATGGGTTTACACAAAAAAGTAATAATTTGTAGCTTTAGAAAATAGCTTTAGATTTTAATTGGAATTCACACTTAAAATCTTAAAAGTAATTTTCACTAAACAAAAACTTCTGTTTTTTTTAAAGTGATAATACTTTCTATATTATTTCTGCCAAACACCAAACAACTTTTGATTAAAAGCACTCTTAGAAAATATTTATTTTAACAGCACTTTTGAAATTCACAACACAAATTACAGCTGCCTCAAACGCCCACTAAGAAAAGAAACTAATGACATTTTTTCTAATGCATGGAGAAGCTTAGGAAAATTCATATAAAACTTATCAAGTTCTCTACAAGGAAAAACGAGAAGACACATTCCAATTGAGCATCCTAGAAGAGGGAACCTTTACATTCCATATAGACATAAATAAGAGTGAGCTGATGACGACCAGTGAAGAACAAATACCATTTACAAGCACCCTAAGGGGCATGTTTTCTGAGCAACTCTAAATGTCCCTTTTAATAATTCCATCTGACCTGTAAAAGGCTACCAAAAAGATATAAATTGACTAGTCACTGTGTCCAATTAGAAAAGAAAAGGTTGGATTGAAAAGCTAATAGTTTCGAGGAGATAAACTTGTATACAAATTTAATATCAAACATATAATGCAATGAATATCCATGACACACCTAAAAGTTTGTTAATCATTAATGGGGAAAAGAAGCTGAATTCTGGGCCGTGTCTTAAGTAACAAAGATCAACAAGAAGATAGGTATCATATTCATACAAGTAGATATGTTATGCATCCCACTTAATCACTCAGTTAGACACTACTGCAGTAATTTCAGCATCCAGAATGGCACTCAAAGATTCATAAAAAAGAATTAACCCTTAAAACACAAACTAATTAGCTTTTCTATTAAAAAAAACTGACAAACTGATTGACAAAACAACAGAACATATCACATTATGATTTGAAAGTAATTTTTTCTATTATTAGAAAAGATAAAGATTAATAAGTACCTCCTCAATCCTAGCGCCAAGTATTCAGTCTTATTCTCAAGTTAAAAAGTCTACTTCATATGCCAATTCCGTCTCTTACTTTTGATCCCAAAAGATAAGCTCTCATAAAAATATGAGAAAATCCAATTGGGACATGGAAAAATTGTTTCTTATGGAACAAAAATATAGAAACATGAAATATAAAGCAAGACTTAAAGAAAATAACCAATTGGAGACAGTTGATTCCGCATATTTCCCCTATTACAATCAATCAAGGAATGAGATATCCATAAATTTAATTTCCCATCTAAACCACCTAACTTTTCTCATACTATATAACTTTTCAACTTGGAATATGTAGTTGAAGCACTGCATCAAATTCAGCAATCACACCAAAGACGTAATTCCTGTTTTTGCAAATCAGACAGATTAGAGATAAGAAAAAGTGCCCACACCCTCAAAAAAGAAACAGAGTGCCTATCGTTGTGCTCATTCTCTCTCTTACCGTTTATAAGCTTCTATCAAAAGTTGAAAACTAATCAGCACGCCAATTGGACATGTAAAAACAAAACAGAAAAATTGATGTTCCAAACAGGCCAAAAAAAAAAATTTACAACCAACTGGGAGCATTAGATTCTACCAATTTTTGTATCAAAATTAAACGAAAATGAACCACCCATAACTTCAAATCCCATCTGAATCATCCAACTCTCTCATACCACAAAGACTATCAACTTTGAATACGTAGTTGAGCAAAGTTCAATCAAATCCAGGAATCAGGGGAAAAACCCCAATTCCAGTTTCTGCGAGATGAAAATAATACCTGTAGTTAACATGTCTTTGAGAAGAAGAAGAAGAAAACGAGTAGCAAGGATTGCCTTCAAGTTGACTGCCTCTGACAGAAATAGACTTCTCCATGCTTTACTAAGTATCAACGGCTGCGATCGCGTCTCGGAGGGTTTACGATACGAGCAAGAGGAGAGGATAATTGGGTCAGCAAATACTAATTTCAGAGAGAGAGAGAGAGAGAGAGAGAGAGAGAGGGGATTTAGGTGTTAACCGAAGAGTGGTTGGTGAGGAAGGCGTCCCCGGCGGTCAAGCCTCCGGAGTCAATCACTCTGTTAAAACAGTAGATGGGGTAAGGGTTCTGGGTGGGTATGGAGAAGAAGGTCTAAGAAAGAATCAAATTGAAAGGGGAGAGTAGCTAAAGGAGAAGAAAGGGAAGATGTGTTTTGTCTGTCCTTGTCTGGTGCGATCAGCTAACTCGGTTTCCAACAGAAGCAAGAAAACCTTAATTAGGGATTTTAATTAATTTTATTTAACTAATTAATTAGATTTAATTAAAATACAATCAGACTGATTGATTGATCGATTGATTGGTAAAATAATGAGATTCCACGGCAGTAGTCGGTGGGCAGGACACGTGTCATTCCTTTAATTCGTGGAGAGAAACCATAGTCGATGATTTGCTTGGGGACATCTTAACCCACAGATACGACGTCGGATTAAAAGAGGTGGGTTGGAAAAATTGATTTTCTCCATCCTTAAGCGACGCCGTTTTGTTTCCTCTGTTAAATATAGTGAAGTGCTGGAATGGTTGATGTGTGGTTAATTTAACCTAGTGATTGAAGATCATAGTTCAAAATTTTCTATTGCTAAGTTTCCTTCTAAAATATAAATTATATATATATATATACATATACATGTTTATCATTTACTCAATCTCTTCTATTCTAAATTTATGTTTTTTTTAATAAAATCATAGTTTATTTTTGACCCATTAAAATAATATTAATATTGTAAATCACCCTATCTAACTTTTAGTCATTAAAATACATTTTATTCGAGTCCGTAAATTATTATTATAAGAGATTCTTAATATATTATTGTTAAAAATTTGTATTTTCCAAATCCAAAAAACGAATAGATTTCTAAGAGCAAATATTTTTTTTCAGCTGATCTGTGTTATATTATATTCTCGTAATATATTTTAAAATTCATTCATTTTTTACTTATTTCATAAAATTTTATATTATTTGGAGTTCTTTTAGATTCATTTATTATTATTATTATTATTGAAAGAGAGCCTGAAGAATCCCTTGCTTTGTTTTGTTTGAACAGAATGTGATCCAGTATTGGAGAAGAAGAAGAGAGAGTAATATGATATGAGAGGTAAAAAAAAGAGATGCACATATTTCATAACGACGAAATCTATTCTTCATCTTCATCAGTGATAAACTTGCCAGTACCAGGATTAATAGCAGCGAAGAAGAAGAAAGCAACGTTGAACAAGACAATAGGCTCAATGTCACTAATGGGGATGCCAGTCTCGAAGTTAAGCTGTGCAAGAGCTCCTTTCCCTGTTATAATTTCTCCAATCAAAGAGAACGCAATACCTAGCTGAGCCAACCTCCCTACGAATAACTCATTCGCCTTTGTAAATCCAAACAGAGGACCTTCAAAAACATGGCAAACCTCCATGGTCAGGTATCAGTCGTTACATAAAAGCACATATGTATATATATATGTATGTATGTATGTATGTATGTTGTGTGTGTGTATATATGTTACCTCCTTCGTTGAGACCGAGAGCTCCCCGGATACCTTTGCCTGGACGGATGACTGCACCTTCCAGACCTGTGGGAGGGTCGTCGACGAATCTTCCACGGTCACCCAATGCTCCGATTGCACCGAGCAAGGTGAAGAGGATGAAGAAGAGAAGAAGCGGTTCTGCTTCGTAAATGGGAATTCCAGTCTCTAGATTCAATTGTGCTAGTATTCCTTTCCCTGTTATGGCTTCCCCAAGCAATGATGCCTGCAAATATTATTGAATTCCACCATTTATGCTAAAAAGGTCTAGTTTCAGTCGGAAGAGTTTGAATCTCAAGACTCCAAAATCCCATAAAACACAGAAAAAAATAAATTTTTTTTTTTTTTCATGGGTAAAATGATTCATAAACTATATACAAGTAGTCATATTGAGATGAAGGAAATTGGTGAGAGAAGAAATGTACCGCAAAACCAAGCATGGCAACACGGCCAACGAAGAGCTCATTTTGCTTGGTAAAACCAATCCCACCAGATGTGCCAAAGATACCATCTTCAGTTTTCAACTTGGGTTTTTCAACCTGTCAAGTAATAAGTCA